CGGTTGCCTCGCGGCCTCGCCCTTCTCCCTGCGTCGGTGCCGTTCTCGATACTCGACGCCGGGGTGTCCAAGTTCGCAGTCACCCTGAATGAGGTGGAGGGCATCAGCTACGTCGCCAAGGTCAGGACACAGCAGGGCAGGACGGGAGCGCCAAGCCGAGGTGCCATCAGCAGCGGAGCGCCACAGGAAGGGAGGATATACGGTGGGGGCGTTCGTTAGGGAATGTGCCCTGGAGGCTTCAGACCCTGGATGATTCCTTCTCGGATGAGAGCGGCGGTGATATCCATGGCCGATCCACGATTGGAGTTCCACCGGCTTCCGGACCCTGGCTTCTCGATCTAAGGGTTCCTTGTCCAATGCCCCTACCGTGGGGGAAGAGGAGAGAGGGGCAGAAAGAGAGAGAGAGAGAGGAGCCGCCCGCACGTCGGACAGGGGGCCACTCTCAGGCCCGAGCAGAGAGCCCTCAGGCGGCGAGCTGGTGGCAGCTGTGCAGCGCATGTGGCTGCGTTCGAGGGGGCCAAAAGCGCGCCGCCGAGGTCAGGCCCGGGATCTACCGGGGCTCCAATCCGAACGAGGAGGGCATCGACGCGCCGCTGTCTCAGCCGTCCGCCCGAGCGCCAGCTCGGGCCAGGCGTCCTTGACGCCGCCCCCCCCCGCCCGGCACGGACGCGTACCTCGTCGCACCCATCACCGATTGCAGTCGCAGTGGGTGCTGCCCCTCCAGGGCCAACTTCAATACGATCGATCCGATTTGAGATCGGCTCCAGCCCGCCCGATTCGAGTGGAGTCCGATTTCCGGGCGTCCGCGTGCGGCCCGATGCTCGCATGGCGCTGTTGTACATCCTGGCCGCCGATTCGGTTCGACTCCGACTCCATGCTGATGCGGCCCGATTCCATCCACGTTCCGATCCGATCCGACTTCCTGAGTCGATGCTGCCTGCTCCCGCCTTCACCTGATCCTCCTTCGCATCCCTCGCGGCTCCGGCTGCAGCCGCGGTCGGTGCCGAGACTGAGCGGCCTCCCTGGCGCCCCCGGCCCCGCCCGCGCACCTCGGGGGCGGCAAAGAGGGGGGTGATGACTAAGTAGGGGGGGGATATCATGGCGGGGGCCCTGGTGTCTCCCCAGATTTCGTGGCGCCACTTCGTATTTCAATGCGTCCCCAGCCCCCCCCCCTCTTGGACGCCCTCGAGAACCTGTGGCGCACCGGGCGCCCCAGGGCAGGTGCGGGCGAGGGCGGGCTTGGCAGCTGGTGGCTCCGTGGACAGTGGGGCCAGGCTTCTCTCGAAGCCTCGGGCGGTCAAGTCGCGAGGAATGAGGAAATCGTCCTCATTCCTCCTCACTCCTCCTCCTCCTCCTCCTCCTCCTCCTCCTCCTCGTCCTCCTCCTCCTCCTCGTCCTCCTCCTCCTCCTCCTCCTCCTCCTCCTCCTCCTCCTCCTCCTCCTCCTCCTTACTCCTCCTCCTCACTCCTCCTCCTCCTCCTCCTTCTCCTCGTCCTCCCCGTCCTCCTACTACTCGTAATAAACACACCTCCAGAGGTCCGCGCGGATTTCTTGGATCGGCGCTGCAACCTTTGGCGGCGCCTCAGGGGCTGCCCCTGGCGCGCTCCGCGCGCCGGGGAGGGGGGTCCACCGCCGACCAAGAAATCAGCACGGACATCCGAAAGTTTAGGTTCATTCCGAAGATCCCGGGCAGGAGCGGGGGCCTCCCAGCGGCCCGTGCGAGGTTCGCGAGTGGATGCCCTCCACTCGCGAAGATGAGACGCCTCACAGACCGCCCTGTTTGTCTGCAGGATGCTCGATAACCCCAGGTCGGCTGCGCGCCCGGGGGGGAATTGAGAGGGGGCGGGCCTTCTCAGAAGGCCTTCTGAGGAGCTTCCCGAGCGTCCCCCGAAGCCACAGAAACAACTTCCCAGCAGGCCCCAGAAGGCTTCTGAGAAGCCCGCCTTCTGAAAAGGCCGTCTCCAGCCCTGAGGGGTGGGCCGCGCCGTGCGGCCAGCGCCACGGCACAAGGCACAAGGCCGCCGCTGTGGCTGGAGCTCTCCCGGGAAGAGGGCCTCCCCCCTGTCTCCCGTCCTTCCTCCCTGCTCCCTTTTCCCTTCTCCCTGCTCCCTCCTCCCTCCTCCATCCTGCAGCCCGTTTTTTTTTTTTTTTTTTTTTTTTTTCCCCGTTTTTGTTGGTTTTCTCTCTCTCTCTCTCTCTCCCTCTTTCTTATCCGCTTCCTCCTCCTCCTTCTCCTCCTCCTCCTCCTTCTACCTCCTACTGCTGCCTCCTGCCTCGCCACCCCTCCCTCTGTCCTCCTCCCTCCTCCCTCCCTCCTTCCCCTCCCTCCCTCCTGTCTCCTCTCTCCCTTTGCTGTCCCCTCCTCGTGGCGAACAATTCTTTGCAGTTTGTGCTGTCCAGCCTCGTTGCCTGCCCTTTCCCAGGATCGAGTGTGGTTCAAAGCTCCCGTCTCCGACAAGAACTGGAGCCGTCCTTGTTCTTTGCAGCCTCTGTGGCTCAAAGCTTGTGCAGCCCAGATGTTCCTCCCCTTCCTCCCCCTTCCTCCTCCATCCCGGCCGTTCCTCCTCCTCCCTCCTCCCCCCCTCCACCGTCCTTGCTCCCGTCTTCCTCCTCTTCCTCTTCCTCCTCCTACTTCTCCTCCTCCTCCTCCTCCTCCCCCCGCCTACCTCCTTCCATCAAAGCGTAGGAACAAAAGAAGCAACAAACAAAATATTAGCCAACGTGAATCCCAGACAGTAAGTTATTGCACTGCGGATGTGTAAGCTCAGTGGTGCAAGCCGGGTGGTGTGAGCTGGTGCAGTGGACGAAGTGAAGCTAGAGGCGGCAACGAAACGGCAACGGGCGGCAATGTGGCGAAACCTTTCTCTGGACCCACCCAACGCACGAGGCGACAACGAGGCAGCAGGGGGCGGCACCGCGGCAAAACCTCGCTGGGCCTACCCAGCGCACGTGGCGGCACCGAGGCGGCAATGAGGCGGCAATGCGGCGGCAACGGGGCGGAATCGCGCCAGACACACCCAGCTCACGAGGCGGCAACGAGGCGACAACGCGCGGCAACGTGAAGAAGTTTCATCACACCCACCCAGCGCACGTGGCGGCAACGATGCGGCCATGAGGCGGCAATGTGGCGAAACCTCGTCGGACCCACCCAGCGCAGGAGGCGGCAACGAGGCGGTAACGGGCGGCACCGTGGCGAATATCAAGATCAAGAAGACCGTGACATTCACGAGCACGACCCGACCTATGATTGCGGACTCCCTGAAACGCACCGTGAACACACCCATGAGCACGGTAACCGTGAAATTCACGAGCACCACCCGATCGAGGCCGAGGTGCTGCCCGCACTGCCTGTATCGCGGCTCCGATGGGGTGGAGGCCAGGAGGAGGGGGAGGAGGAGGGGGAGGAGGAGGGGGAGGAGGAGGAGGAGGAGGAGGAGGAGGACTGGCCACGATACATGCTTTGCGGGCAGCACCTCGGCCTCGATCGGGTCGTGCTCGTGAATTTCACGGTTCCCGTGCTCATGGGTGTGTTCACGGTGCGTTTCAGGGAGTCCGCAATCATAAGTCGGGTCGTGCTCGTGAATGTCACGGTCTGCTTGATCATGAGTGTGGTCACAGTGCATTTCACGGAGTCCGCAATGGCAGGTCGGGTCGTGCTCGTGAGTTTCACGATCTTCGTGGTCATGTAGGTCGGGGCGTGCTCGTGAATTTTTGGTTTTCGTGGTCATGAGCGTGGTCACGGTGCGTTTCACGGGGTCCGCAATCATAGGTCGGGTCGTGCTCGTGAATGTCAAGGTCTTCTTGGTCATGAGTGTGGTCACAGTGAATGTCACGGAGGATGAGCACGACGGACGTTGCTGGTGGACGTCCGCCCTTGTCCTCCCCCCCCCCCGGTGAGGACCATCATAGGCGTTGCCAGTGAGGACCACCACGGGGCCTCACACCCCTCGCAGTTTCCATCATTGGGACTGCGGGGGTCGAACCAAATTCCCACAAACCTGGCGCCGCACGTGCAGTGCCAAGGGCGGCGGCCCGTCTTCCCATCCTACCATCATAGTGGGATGCGAAGTCCCTGAAGACGGGACGGTGTGGGCGCGAGCGGGCATCGTAGCCGGCTCAAAATCAAAAGAGGCATCGTAGCCTCATCAATCTAGATGGATCCACTCACGGATCCACTGCAAATGGTTTTCATTGGATTCATTCCATGCGTAGCATGCTCTTCCCACCCAGCGCACGATGCGGCAACGAGCCGGCAGTGAGGAGGCAACGTGGCAAAACCTCGCCGCACCCACCCAGCGCACGAGGCGGCAATGAGGCGGCAACGTGGCGGAAACTCCCCAGACACGCAGCGCACGAGGCGGCAACGAGGCGGCTACGGGCGGCACCGCGGCGAAACCTCGCCAGACCCGCCCAGCGCACGAGGCGGCAATGGGCGGCACTGCGGCCAAACCTCGCCAGACCCACCCAGCGAGCGAGGCGGCAACGAGGCGGCAATGGGCGGCACTGCGGCGAAACCTCGCCTGACCTACCCAGCGCACGATGCGGCAATGAGGCGGCAATGAGGCGGCAATGCGGCGAAGCGTCTCTGGACCCAACCAGCGCAGGAGGCAGCGACGATGCGGCAAAGGGCGGCATTGTGGCGAAACCTCGTCGAACCCACTCAGCCCACGAGGCGGCAACAAGGCGGCAACGGGCGGAAACGTGGCGAAACCTCGCACGTGGCGGCAACGTGGCACAATCTCGGTGGATCCGCTCCGCGCACGAGGCAGCAACCATGCGGCAATGAGGCAGCAACGTGGCGGAATCTCCCCAGACACCCAGCGCAGGAGGCGGCGACGAGGCGGCAACGTGGCGAAACCTCGCCGGACCCACTCAGCGCACGTGGCGGCAACGAGGCGGCAACGGGCGGGAACGTGGAAAATCGTCGCCAGACCCAACCAATCCCTTCAAATTCTTAGGGAGAGAAGTGAGAACCCCTAAGTGAAAACATTGTTTTCGTTCGCTCAGTCCCTCCCATCCCCACTCGCACTTCTCCTTGCCCCTCTCCCCCCGCTTCCTGCCCTCCTGCCACTCCAGAAGGCTATCGTGCGTCCTCGCTGATCTTCCAGTCGTTCGTCTGCGTCTTTCGCTACGTGCAAATTCGCGCCGCGCTCGTCGAGATAAGCATATATGGCGGTTTAGCCGACGGCTTCTGTTAGGTCGGGAAGAGCGCGTTCTGTGGTCGCTTGGAGGGGGGGGGTTTGGAACCAGACCCCCCCGCCCCCCCCCTGGATGGAGGGGGGTCCCGTGACGGAGGGGGGGGGGTTCGAACCCCCCCCTTTACCCCCCCGGCGTCCTCCCCTACTCCCCCCGCCCCCCCCCTGGATGGAGGGGGGTCCCGTGACGGAGGGGGGGGGGTTCGAACCCCCCCCTTTACCCCCCCGGCGTCCTCCCCTACTTCTCCTCTCTCCCTCTCCTCGGGCCGGCGCCTGCGTCGGCGGCGGCTGGCGGCGGCGGCGAGGACGACGACTTCGTTTTCTGGGCCGGGCGCCGGCGCCTGCGGCGGCAAGCGGCGGCGGCGGCGGGAGCGTCGACGAGGACGACGGTGGTGGTGTGGTGGTGGTGGGTTGTGGTGGTGGTGGCGGTGGTGGTGGTTGTGGTTGTGGTGGTGTGGTGGTTTGCTGTGGTGGTGGTGGTTGTGGTGGTGGTGGGTGGTGGTGGTGGTGGTGGTTTGTTGGTGGTTTGGTGGGCGTTTGTGGTGGTGGTGGTGGTTGTGGTGGTGGTGGTGGTTTGGTGGTTGTGTGGTGGTGGTTTGTGGTGGTGGGTGGTGGGTTGTGGTGGTGGTGGTGGTGTGGTGGTGTGGTGCGGTGGTGGCGGTGGTGGTGGTGGTGGTGTGGTGTTGTGGTGTGGTGGTGGTGGTGGTGGTGGGTTGTGCTGCTGGTAGTGGTGGTGGTTGTGGCGGTGGTGGTGGTGGTGGTGGTGGTGTGGTAGATTGTGGTGGTGGTGGTGGTGGGTGGTGGTGGTGGTGAGTTGTGGTGGTGGTGGCTGTGGTGGTGGTGGTGGCTGTGGTGGTGTGTGGTGGTTGTGTGGTGGGTGGTGGTGGTGGTGGTGGGTTGAGGTGGTGGTGGTGGTGGTGTGGTACCGGTGGTGGTGGTGGTAGTGGTGATAATCGTCGCTGCGTCCCCGCCGTCGCCAGCGCCGGCGCCGACGGTGCGGGCCGCCGCCAGCGCCGGCGCCGGCGCCGGTGCGGGGGGGGGGTTGGACCCCCCCCCCCGTTGGGCTGCCTCTGGTCATCGTCGCTGCGTCCCCGCCGTCGGCGCTGGTGGCGGACGCCAGCGCCGGCGCCGGCGTCAGCGCCAGGGGGGGTTTTGACCCTTCCCCTTTTGGGAAAGGGGGGGGTTCGGGAGGGGGGGAGTTGGGGGGAGGGGAGTCCCCCTGGTTCTGATCGACGGCGCCGAGTGTTGGGGGGGTGCCCCCCCCCCGGTTCGAAACGCGCCGCCGAATGTTCCCAAGGCAAGCGCCCGTGAAACGCGTTCTCTCGTAGGTCGTGAAACATCAGTTTTTGTCCGTCGTTCCATTTCCTTCTCATTCAAGTTACGCCGACATAGGCGAACGAATCGTCGTTTCGTTTCTCGATTCGAATCTTCTCACCTCCTCCTCCTCCTCCTTCTCCTCCTCCTCCTCTCGCCTCCTGTCGTCTTCCCATGAGAGGCTGAAACATGTAGCCGTTTGGGCCCCCTGGTGGCACTTGCATGCGACGCACTTGTTTTCTCTCCCAGGCTAGAGTTCCCTGCGCGAGTTTGACTGTTACAGGTCGTGTTGTGTGACTTTCCTGTCAGCTTGGCGACCCAATTAATTCGCGCTCAGGTGGATGCCATGTTGTCTGGGTGGTGTGATCCGTTGCCGCTTTTTGCCCAGAGCGTGGCCGCGGCAGCGGTGGCAGCCTGGAAAGCACTTTGGACCGGTTTTGGGGTGATGACTTTCACGCCATCGATCCACGCCTCCGTTGTCCAATACGACGCATCGAAGGCCTACGTCCTGGCTGGACCTTGCTTCTCGTGCCTCAATGGAGTCTGTGCTGGTGGAGAATAGTAGGGTATGTTTGGGTTGGACAACTCACCAGGAAGTTGCTATGCGGCCTGAGGTGCACAAGCAACAGCTAGAAGAAAGAGCTTGGGTGGATCTGATACGAGAAGTGGGCGTCGCACACGAAGCTCAACTATCACTGGGTGTGAGGGGTACAAAGGCGGCTGGAGTGGTGGAATCTGTTACGCTGTTGGGCAGGCGACGCCCAGCCCGCGCAGACGGTGGCGACGACTCCAGTAACGGCCCTGGTCTCGACGGCTGCATCCGCCGTTGGTGCTCTGCATCTGACAGATGTACATGGCGAGAGGTTCGACATGATGCGGACAGGTAAGCACCTTCTGAGACACATTCCGCGGAAGCGCAGGGAAGCCTCTCTGCTTCGTGCAGACGCGGTGTCTGAACGAGGTGGTGGACAATGTGTTCATACAATAGGCGGATGCGAGACACACTGGCGGGTTGCGTAACCACGCCCACGGTCCTGACGGCAAGCATGCCAAGCGTGCCCGCCCCTGTTTGGTTGGCCGTTGCGCCATATTAGATTAGCAGTGCACACTTTCGGGCTATGATTTTTTGCTTTACTCAAACGGTTGTATGGTATTGCGGCCGCGCTTAACAAACACAGCCCAGATCTTCCTGCCGACAGGGCGGCCGACCCCGTCGACAGACGGCTCGCTTTCATTTAAACAGCCTCTCGTGTTGCGTACGTTCCCGATAATCGCGCTGGATGAAAGGGAACATCATCGTGGAGAGCTGTACTTCCAAGACTGTCAAATCTGTTTGTCTTGGGAGATCACTTGGAGCTCTCATTGAGCCTCCTTCCCTCCCTCTTCCCTCCTCCCTCCATGGCCGTTTCCTCCTTCTCCTCCTCCTCGTTTTTCGTTCCTGCTCATCCCCTTGCCTAATTCTGTGCTTTCAAGCAGAGTTCACGGGGGGTGCGATCCATGTCTCACTCAAAGAACTCGCGTTGCATGAGGAGGAGGATGAGGAGGAGGAGGAGGGTTGCTCGCTTTATAGTTTTCAGGAGCCAGGGCATGAGCGGGATGACGGACAGTGGTGGAGGAGGAAAGGGATGGAGAAACACAATTCGATGCCTGTCTCACTTCAAACACCAGCTGGCTGGCCCATTCGCTGTCATTCGATGTTGTGTACATTTTGGTGTTGCGTCTTGGCGCCATTGACGATCAAGAAGTCCGAAATCAATGGGACGCTTTGGTTTCTGGATCGGAATGCAGGCCGAAGAGCTCGCGTGCCTGCAGCCTCCCCAGAGATTTCGCAGAGGCCGCGGGGGGCACACTCCTCAAGCAAAAGCGTACTTCCGTGCGCGCCAGGGTTTTCCCGGGAGCGTGAGCACCCTCGATTCTGGTTGCGGCGTGCTCAGCAAATCGTGGTCTACTGTAGGATCCCAGTTGAGACTGGAGCCCAGGCAAATGTGACCCACTGCGTAAAGTTCTCGTGGCACGTTCTGGGGCTGGCCCTTGTCAATCATTGCGATACCATTTGTTCTATTGCTACGCCCGCTGAGGCTTCGTTCGCTGGGGATCCGCACCGTTATCAATCTGCGGAAGCACGAGCACGGCGAGGGGCAGCTTGTACAGAACGCAGGCGGACGTTTGTCTACCATTCGCGACGAGTTGCCATCCTTCCTTGCCTCACACATTCGTTCCCACTTTTTCGCGTCTCTAGGCCCCTTCGCCAGAGTTTCCCCATGCAGCGAATGCCTGGCGCAACTGATGGCACAATGGTGCAACCACTGACAGAACATGTGATTTTGTGGATCGCGGGGTGCCCGCAGCAACGTGCCCCTCCCGATTTGCCCGCGGCTGTGCGCCAGACACCAGCGAAACTCCTGCGGCACTCTCCAAAAGTACGCTTGGAGCGCACCCCGAGGGTTCCCCTCCCAGGGCTCGCACCCCGTTGTTTATCAGGGAAAGTCTTGGATCTCCAAATTGCGTGTTGGCCCCCGAACTACTACAACAACGGCTTCCGCCTGATACTTCCACACAATGTGAGGAAGAATCGCGCTCTCGATCATGATGTTCTTGTAATTTACCTGTGAATCGCGCTGTCGCTCAGGAATCTTCGCGATTTATTTAGGCGTCGCGCCCTCCACAGTCAGGAAGCACTCTCTCACCGTCTGGGTCCGCCCGCCCTACTGGCCTGCCTGGATCTGCCGCTAATTTTCGTGCTCTTATAATCTCCCTCCTGCTATATCTCTCTCGTGCCCTATCCTTGTCCCTCCCCCTTGTCCCTTGCCTCCTCCCTCCCTTCCCGCACTCCTTTCCTCCTCGCTCTCTCTCTCTCTCTCTTTTTCCTTGTCTCCTTCCGCTTCCTGTTTTTGGGGGCTGCGCCAACTACACACGGGGCAGGTAAGGAATCTATGTCCACAAAGGGGGGTACGATCGAAGACCAAGAGGGGTTGTATCGAGCGTTTGGGATCTACATGTTGATTGACACACGAGCAGATGAGAGCGATCAGTCTTGAAATTGTAGAATCATAATTGTTGTTGATGCCCCCTCCGGTGCCCATTTTTTTAATGATGGCCCCCATCTTGCAACAGCAGCAGCTCCCGCCTTCTACTTCGTCGCAGTTCATTCGCAACCGCGCACAGTTTACTGCGGAACCGCGCTCAAGCTCAGGACGTCCTTGCAATTTAGTCAGGCGCCGCGCTCTCGACGCCCAGCGCTCCTGCCGCATCGCGAGGCTGCTCCGATGAACTCGTGCGATGTCTCTCGCTGTCTCCGCCTCCCCGTCCGTCTCTCCGTCTCTCCGTCTCTCTCTCTCTCTGTTTCTCTCTCCCTGTCTCTCCCTCTCCCTCACTCTTTCTGTACGTGCATGTCTTTGTCTGTGTGTATGTCTCTCTCTCTCTCTCTTTCTCTTTCCTTGTTCGTTATATATATATATATATATATATATAATTATTTGTGTATGTGTGTTTGTCGGCTTATCAGTTCTTGATTTTGTTGGTTCTCTTTCTCTCTCTCACTCTCTTTCTCTTTCTCTCTCTCTCTCTCTTTCGCTCCCCACGCCGCCTCTTCCTGTTGCTGCCGTCCTTGCGCTCTCCCCCCCTCCCTCCCTCCCTCCTCTGCCCCCATCTCCCCCAATCTTCCAGCGCGGGTCTCGAAGGAATGCGCTACGAGTGGATCCCCCTGCGGAAGACGCACGCACCGGACGCGGACCAGGCGGTGCGCGCCCGTCTGGAACAAGCCAGAGATCCTGCGCTCCCTCCTTCTCCCCAGACAGACGGGGTCTCCTGCCTCTTCTCTGAGGAACTGGGCCTGCCCGTCGGTCTGGCGGCTATGTGGTCGCCGTCGCCGCCCCGCCGCCGCCTCGTCGCCTCCCGTTTTCTGGGCCTGCCTGTCGGTCTGGCCGATATGTGGTCGCCGTCGCCGCGCCGTCGCCGCCCCGTCGCTCTGGGCCTGCCCACTGGTCTGGCGGCTGTGTGGTCGCCGTCGCCGCCCCGTCGCCGTCTGGCCCTGTGTTACGTCTCACTGCTTTACGCCACTCTGCATGTCATGTCATCGATTTGCATTGCTTTCTTGTGATGGCCTTACGGCTGGTGCCGCCAACCCTCAAGGCGGTACCTCCCCCGGGACCCCCACTGGCGCCCCCCCTCCGGGGACCCGCCTGGACCCCAGGGGGTGCGGTATTCTGACCCGGGACCATCCTCCCCCACCGCAGGCAGGACCTCCCCCTACAACCCTCGACAAAATCAAGTTCAAAAATGCGGCACGTACCTTACGGCAAGTTCGCGTCGCGTCGACGCGGCAGCGACCCCAGCGCGGGCGTTCAAGGTTGGACGACGCCAGTGGTCAGGAGTCGGACGACGTGCACGATTTGGATTTTCGGAAAGCTCTTACGGTCCAAAGTTGAAGGATCCACGCGGTGCCAGAGGCCAGCGCGCAAGTCGTCAGACAAAGAACGTACGATACTTGCGCATGTTATTGGCAGGAATTGGATGTCAAAGAGTGCGAAGTATTTGTTGGTGTCCCCCCTTCAACGTCGGTCAGCAGGGAACTGCCGAGCCGCACCCCCCAGAGCATGCGTCGGCTTCCTTCGACATTGGAGGGACCGACATAGAAGGGGGGCTCAAGGCGTTTTTGAGTTGAGCTTGGCCGAGGGTTGCGGGACCCCCCCTCCTGGGCCCCCCTCCTCAGGGGGGACCCCCCCTGCCCCCCGTAAGGTTGATAAAACCGTGTGTGTGTGTGTGTGTGTACCACCTCGGTTTTTGGTCTATTACTTCTCATTTGCTTGCTTTCCTGTTGATTATGCTTTTCGTCATCTTTAAAGGGATTGCTCACAATAGTGGAATGCAGAACGATTCCTGTTGTAGCAGATTTTACATTGAGTTCTTTTGTGGGGAATTAAAAGGGAATTCTGTTCATGGTGAATTGCAAATTGTTTCCTTTTGTGGCGGATTACAAAAGATTCCTTTTGTGGAGGATTACAAAAGGATTCCTCTTGTGGAAGATTACAAAGGGATTCCCCTTAGTGGAGGAATGCAGTACAGTACAGTACAGCAGCCTTGCATCCGAGTGGACGCGTAGGCAAAGCAAGCGAACAGCCAAACGCTGTGCAGAGCGGCGACAGGCGAGAGAGCCCGGCCAAACGCCGGCGCCGAACAGAATTCGATAGATGACGATGAGGATGAATCAAATCAGCCTTGCATCATGTGGTACACTGAGTTCACCCATTGTTGTCGTGGGCGGCCTCTGCGTCTCTGGTGAACCCATTGCTTTGGCGTGGCGTCGGGGTTGCATACCACTTGCCTTACCAATGAGTTTGCGTCATAGCAGGTGATCTTCCTGTACAACTGGATCTGCCGATCGTGCAAGATATTCGACAACGTTTTCATACATGATTTCTCCAAAACTGTGGCATTAGACACCCGTGATATGTACGAACAAGGAATCTTTAATATCTTTCTCAGACACTTGCATTGGAAAGCATCAATCCTTGATCTGTCGGATTTCAAGAGCCATAAAGAATCGAGCGAATATAAGAGCTTGCTGACGACACAGGCAGAAAATATATGCAGCTTCCGTCGCGACGTTATAGAAGTGTGCGCCCAGATTTTGTTCAGATCGCGAAAGACGGCGCCCGCTTCTCCCAGCCTTCGAGATATCTCATTCCCGGCGCGACCATCGCAGGAAACCAAGCCTCCCAAGTACACTGCTTCTCTTGCTGTTTTGATTGGGTTCCCATTTGGCTGCCGCACCACACCAGTAGTTGAAATTTGGATTTGTATTGTTTTGTCCCAGTTTAACTCCAAGCCATACTTCTGCCCCTCTAAAATGACTGCGTCCAATATCAATTGTAAATTCTCCGGGTGTTTGGAGAGCAGCAGCGTGTCGTCAGCGTACAGGATGTCCCTTGTCACGACATACGCGGGCTCTTCCAGGAGAGACAGGTTCTCGAAGACATCGTGCAACATTACTGATTGAACCGCAATGAAAAGATATGGTGATAAAGGGCAGCCTTGGGCAATTCCTGCAAACTGTCTGCGTTCCGACGAACGCCCGCTGTGGTCAACTACAGTGAAGTACCTCTCAGAATAAATGCCCCGTATCATCTGCACCATAGGATCTGGCAGGCCAAATCTTTCCAACGCTTTGCAGAGACAATCTGGCTTCAAGCGATCAAACGCTTTTGCCCAGTCCAACAAAAGCAATAAGATGCCATCGTTCTTGTTTGAGTGTGCTGCATCAATAATTCGCCTTATCAGCATCAGTGCGTCCGCCGTGCCACGCCCAGGGCGGAAGCCAAACTGGGATGATCGCATTCTTCCTTCTGACCCTCCTTGTATAAGACGCCGGTGTATCATCGAAGCCAAAGTTTTGTACCCCACGGCCAACAACGAGATCGGCCTATAGTTGCTTGGGAGGGTTGCGTCGCCTTTTTTGAATAACAAAACAACGTTGGCTCTCTTCCATTTCGTTGGAATGTCTTTCGTTTCCCAACATTTTTGGCATACCCGTAGTAATGCTGCGCACGCTTCGTCGCTATTGGCAAGTACTATCCAAAAATCTGGCGGTATATCATCGGGCCCGGCCGCTTTCCCCTGTTTCATTTTTCGCAGTGCGACCCGCAATTCTTGTAAAGAGAAATTCGATGTGTCGACGGGGAGCGTGTCTCCCATCTTCGTTGTTGCTTCTGGGGCCGCATCTGGAAAACGTACTTGCCATTGAACTTGTTCAAAGTACTCTGCTAGCGCGTCTGGTCGGCCTGCTGTGTCTGTCAACTTTCCTGTAAGATCTTTGACTCCAGCGTGTTTTTGTTGTCGTTTCTTCCTCAATTGTTTGACGGCGCTCCAATGTCCCCCAACCAGTGCGGTGTTGATCCAATTTGACCGGTCTTGTCGCGCGGCTTGCCGGATTTCTTTATTCAACGCCTGCTCCTCGATAGATCGTCCTGTTGTTCGGCATGTGTTTCTCTTCTCGATCAGATCCAAAGTACGTTGAGATATCCATGGGCGCTTTGCTACAGTATGCCTGGGCTTCAAAGAACATGCAGCGGATGAGAAAGCCTGCTCCACCGCCCCGGCCACGTCATCCAGAGAGCCCCCAAGAACAGCATCGCCCCAAGCCAGCGTAAACTTGGATACAAAATCTCGTCGCACGCCGGGCTCCTTCAACGACGAAACGTCTGAGCGCGGCGGGCGGGCTATGTTGCGATTCTGAAACTGGAATGCTATATTCGCCGTGGTCAGGAAGTGGTGGCTGTTTAGGGCCGCTCTTCGATGGGATCTGCAATCCAATACCCATGGCAAAACTGAAGAATTGCATAAGATGTGGTCGATTTGCGAAAACAGCTCTGGACAGATAGGGTCCATCGGAGCCACTCCCAAATCCCTGTACGTGACACGCTCGTCTTCCGGTGCATTGAAGAATGTGTTCGCGATCGCCATGTCGTTGCCGTGGCAGCATTCCAGCAGAAGTTGGCGATTAGAGACCTGTGTAGCGGTGCGTTTCGCAAACTTCCCAAGGTAAACATGCTTTCCAATAATGTGCTCTTCGCCCTTGTTCTGAATCAACAGTCTGGCATTGAAATCCCCCAGAATCATAGTAGTGCTGTGAGGCGTTGTCGGCCGGATGTATGCGTCCAGGTCGGAGTAGAAGTCGCGCCTGACCTGTTCATGGTGTCCACTGTGTGGCGCGTAAGCGGTGATGAGGGTTAGCATCCCGCCAACGATCTTTATTCTCAGGGAGGCGAGTCTTGGCGAAGAGGCATGGAACGCAACTGCTGATTTTTCGGCCCATGGTGCAACTATGAAGCCGACCCCGGCATCTGAACGTTTGTTTGCATCAAGTTCCCCTGACAAGCAAACCAGAAAACCCTCTTCATGTTTGTAGTAATCTGTACCATGCAAGTGCGTCTCTTGTATGCATAATATATCGATGTTCTGCTTTCGCATTGTGCCGAACAACTCTGTGAACTTAACCTGCGAATCCCCCCTCAGACCTTCCACGTTCCAGGAGCCCAGTCTAATCGTCGATGTCGGCAAGCATGCTGTGCGAGGCCTGCCCCATGATTTTCGCGATTGTGGAGTGGGTGGAATCGAAGACGGTGCGATAGCAGAAGAAAAATCGAGCGATGTATCATTGTCGCCCTGATCAGATAAAGTCTCAAACTCTGTACCTTCGTTGGCAATTGCTGGTGATATGAAAGCGCTTTCAAAGAAAATACGTGGAGATGTGTAGCCAAAACTTGAAGTAGAAGCAAATGCGGTAATGGTATCTTTGCCCATTTCCGTAACAGCCCCTGGAGAAGACGAAAAGGAAACATCAGGATCACTGTGAACATGTGCGTGGGGGTGCTGATGAAGACGCCCGTGTAAACCGTGCGCGGTAGCGGTAACTTTGCCCATCTCCGGCACAGATTCCAGAGTAGAGGAATGCGGAAAAAGAGATTGGAGAGGTACACGTGTTCCTGCGAGGGGTCGTCCATGAAGGGGCCGGTGAGCTTCCTGAGGTAGGTGTGGCAGGCTGGTAACTTTGCCCATTCCTGCCGTCGTCGTCGCCGGTGGTGATGGTGCGTCGGCGTCGGTGTCGGTTCCGGCCTCGATCGGCACCTGCCGCGTTTCTCAAAATCTCCCCCCTCCTTTGGACTGCCCTTTGGGACCTCCTTTCATTCCCGACGAAGCTCTGCTAACCAAATCGTCACATTTGGACGTAAGTTCTTT